ACCTTCGCTTTGTATCAGTCTCGCTCCTTTGATCACGGACCCTAACAGTTAAAATAGACCTACCAAAGCAGAAGTTAAATAAATAAATTAACATAAAAATTGTTCAGAAATGACCTAAAGGATTCCAGGGATTTGATGGAAAACTCTGGTGAGACAAATTCGTAATCATAGTTTCTTTATCTCTCCTTTAGGCACAGGAAAGCACTAAAGGTTAAAAAAAAAGAAAAGAAGAAAGAAAAAAAAAAGAAACTTTCATGTTGCCTTTGTGGACATTCTGTGTAACAGACCTATCCACTTAGGTTATCAAGTAGAGGTAAGCAATATTCTTTCTATTTTACATTCTTTCTTATTTTGTTGTCCAGAAAAATAGCTATTGATTAGAACTTCCCAGTACCAGAGCCCTATCGGGAGGGCCATTCCTAGCTCTTTTGTTCTCTCACAATCTATGGTTCCCCTGTGTTCTTCACATGCTCCTTTTTTTATTCCCCAAATATGGGGTGGACATTTTCATCTCCATATCCTGGGGTGCCTTCTTGTCTTCTCTCCTCTCCTCATAGCTCCAATGGTTTGTAGCATTCAGACCCTATGTGGTCCATTTCATCTCCATGCTCTCTTCTTCCCTTCTCTTTATTCAGGAAACTATTCTCTCCTCTCCTTTTTCTGTTCTGTCTTCTTTAATTTCTCTTTTCTTCATTACCTTCTTTCTCCTCTCTTCTCTATTTCCTTACTTATTAGGCACAAGACCTAGCAAAGAAAGACCTAGACCCCTCAACTGAATGCCCATATAAGAGACCATGGTCTCTGTGGCCCCAAGGGCAGTTTAAAAAATAATAATAATAATAATTTAACTGTCACAACATTTCTGTCTGACCATGTCATAAAATGATTATCAAACCACTGAGTTAAATAACAATCTATGGCCCATTATTCAATGGCCTGGGCATGGAGCACCATTATGAATATACAATGATGATATAAGCAAGGAGTGCAGGAGCCTATTTAGATAAGGCTAAAGTTGAGGCCGACAACCATGCAGGTATACATAGGGCTATTGGTACATGTTTGCATTAGCCATGTAAAATGTATTATTGGCAATATATATCTTAAATATATTTTCAGAATTTCCCCTTTGTCTTTAATTCTATAAATCTTGAATTAAACTAATTCAAGCATGTCAGTTTGTCAAATCAATTTATTTATTGCTTTGATCCAAAACTGGTATAGTATCACCACTACATATATTTCCCTTGAGAGTTCCACATTTGTTATTATGCATGAGAAATATTTCCCTTTTCTGAAATCAGAAAAAAATATTTAACTACATTTTCTACTAATTTTGTCAGTTTGTCTCTTTCACTTAAATTATTAATCAATCTATAATGTATTTTTGAATATACCATGTAATTAGCTACTTTTTTACATATCAGAAAGTACATAGAAATTCTAATGCCATTTTTTCAATAAATGTTCTTTCTGATCTAGCTAATAATGTACATTGCTTATAAATAAAATCTGGATATATAAAATTTTGCCTATTTCTGAGATATCTAATAATAGCCATCAATCCATCAATTGAGTCTTGTGCAATAGAAAAATTATTGAACATTTATGGTATGTTTAATACCCATTTGGGCAAGTTCCTTCTTATATTAGTTTTCTATTCCTATGTCCCAGTTACTACAAACATAGCAGCTTAATTTATATCTCAGGATTCTGTGGGACATGAGTCTGGGCATGGCTAACCTTGGTCCTCTGCTGAGGGTTCCACAATGCTGAAATTAAGTTTTTGCCTAGGTTTCATCCCCATCTGGAAGCTGGACTAGGGAAAAATTAACTTCCAACCATGTTTATATTATTGGCAAGAATTCAGTTCCATGTGCTTATGGAACCAACATCCCTATTTTTTGGGTGGCTGTAGTTCAGGTGGCTCACAGGTCTTAGAGGGTACCCTCAGGCAGGTCCTAACCACATAGCCCACATGGCCCACTTTACAATGTGACAATTTATTTATTTATTTATTTTTTACAAGTTAGCAGGAGAATCTCTGGCTTCAGAATTTCTTCGAGGAAGGGCCCAGAAGTCCCTTTTTTAAGGACACACCTAATTAGTTCAGGACCATCCAAGATAATCTCCCTTCAATAACTTAGAGTTAGTTTTCAGTTGACTTAATCATAAGAGTGAAATCATATCATATTCACCATCCACATATACTCAAGAAGGAATTTTAGAGGGTGTGTATAGCAGGAGCTAGAAGTCCTGGGTGTCATCTTGGAATTCTGCCTATCCCATTTCTCACTTTATTACTCACTCGAAAAGGCATATTTATAGATATTATGTGGAAGATATTGTGGTACAACACAATCCCTAACCTTACAGGAATTTTATAGTATAATCTTATCTAAGATATTTTGAGTTTCTTTTTCCATTTTGCCTCCCAAATTAATCTTAATGTCCTTTTTAAGTTCTTTACAAAATTTTGATTTTCATTTCAATCATACCTAGTCATTTAGATAAAGTTTATGGTTTGCAGTCTTGTCACACAGAAATACAGTTGTTTTACTATTGTAAAGCTGTTCCCATTTTTTTTTTTTCTATACCTGTTTAAGCATAACTTTGAAGAGGGACAAATCCGAAGTCTAAATATATGGAGTATTTTCTTCTGTACTGTTTTTACAAATAACCACAAATTTGTTGATAAAGAATAGAAATTTATTCTCTCCACAGTTCCTGAGACCAGAAGTCTAAAATCAGTTTCACCAGGCTAAAATCAAGGGTGGCTTGGTCAATTAAGCATCAGCAATTGGCTCAGTTCATGATTCCAGGGGTCGAGCCACACATTGGCCTCCCTGCTTAGCAGGTATTTGGTTTCTCTCTTTCCCTCTGCTCCTCTCCATGCTCAGTGCTCACTCTCTCACTCTCTATCTCACTCTTTCTCTCTCTTTCAGATAAATGATCTTTAAAAATAGAAAAGAAATAAAGAAATAAATAAAATCGAGGTGTTGGGAGATTCCATTCTTTGCCTTTTGTGGCCTAGTAGCTGCTGGCATTCCTTGGTCACATCACTACAATTCCTGCTCTGTGTGTATATCTTCTCCTTTTTTGTCTATATAAAACCTCCCTTTGCCTCTCTTATGTTACTATGTTACATTTAGGAAATACCTAATTATCCAAGATAATCTTTCTCATTTCAAGACACTTAATTACATCTGGAAAAATAATTTTTTCCTATAAGGTAATACATACTAGTTCCATGGATAAGGACCTAATATCTTGGAGTGGCCATTATTTAGCTTATTACACGAAATCTACTCATGGTAACACAAAAGGAAAGACTCAGTATAATTTGATTGATGGTAATATAAAATTTTTCTAAGTACTGCCTCAGTGCCAATTAATTATGGTTAATCAAACACATCAATTTACTTTGATGTCCACCAGAAATCCAACCACAATTGTACTAAAGTCATCCTTTATGAACACAGAAAATAGTAAAGGACACTTGCAACTATTTAAGAAGATGGAAAACAAGTAAATTTAAACTGGCTTAGTAGACCACAGAAAACTAAGACAAAAAATAAAAACCAAGCTGGCGATAAGAGGAAACTGTTTGCAACTGACACTGAAAAATATAATAAAGCTAAAAAGCTGATGACAATAAGGGTGGATACATGTGTGGCTAAAAACAAGAATTAAGATTGAAAACCTAAGTGAGGAAATTTCACACTCCCTCATCTACCCAGATCTATGACTCAGGTTTTATTCCCTAGAAAGTTTCAATTATAATTTCAACTAAAATCTGGACTGGGGTTTTCAAGCACAGCTGAGGTCAGAGACCGTAGAGAAAACACAAAATTAAGTACAAGTTGAAAACAATAACTTCCGTAAAGACAGCAGGAAGGCTTATGACCTTAGACATCAGATTAGAAGATTTATTTATGGAGAAAGTACCTACAGGAGTAAAAACAAAATTTAATACAAAGATTCACAAGTATACACAGGTCACCAGAAAAAGCCACTAACATACAAGATGAAGATCAATACAAAGAGAAAAGAAGGACTTAAATGAAACAGTGTAAAGAGAGAGTGACAAAAGACCCCAAACAACAGCCCTAATTAATGTACGTAAGACCTAGAAAAAGATACTACAATCATGACATAAGAGAAAAATACTATAAAAACATTCATACAACTTACAACTCTTAATAAATTAATAACTCAAAAGAAGAAATGGAAGTTAAAGTTGAGGTAGCCATCTAAAGGCAAACATTAAAAATAACAGATAGAGGGGGACGCCTGGGTGGCTCCATCAGTTAACCATCTGCCTTAGGCTCAGGTCATGATCCCAGGGTCCTGGTATCTAGCCCCACATCAGGTTTCTTGCTCAGGAGGGAGCCTGTTTCTCCCTCTCCTTCTGGTTGCCGCTCCCCCTGCTTGTGTGCTCACTCTCTCTGTCTCTCTGACAAATAAAATCTTAAAAAATTTAAAAATTAAACACAAAACAAAAATGACAGGAAATAACAGAAGAAACTATTGTCAAAGTCCAGACACTGCAACATCGAAGAGGAATTCTAAAAGTTGGCGACAACACAAATGCCAGGATGTATATTAAAGACACACCCAGACACAAATTTTCAAGAACTGATGGGCAGTGTATGTACCACAATGTAAGGGAGAAAATCCGTTAAGTCATGTTATTTAGGGAAATCATAAGATTCAAGACTAATATGAGTGATAAGTATCCATGGATTTTTTTTTTAAGTCATATTCTGTACAGAATGGCACTAGAGTGTCAAATGTTAAAACTGAAACCTAGAGGAAAATTTAACAAAGTTTTCAAAATTCTGAGAAAAAGTCCAATCAAGAATACTATAGAAAATCAAAATGAAGATAAATGGATTACTTTCACACATGCAAAACAATTTATTTTCTACGTAGTGTTCTTCAAGAAACTACTGGAATAGTTTTTCCATCAAAATGAGTCTGTAAAGCCATGAAGGGAGTAGGAGCTGGGGAGCCTTTCTGCGCCACAGAAAATGTCTAAAGACTTGGTGAAGATAAGAAAACTATCAGAAAGGCAGTGGCACCATTATCCTATAGTCACTTTTGGTCACATTGTCCAGTTCTCAACATGTATCATCCTTATCTGAAACTAGACACCCGCTGCAGCCAGAAGAACAAGAAGTGGGCATCGATCCCTTGTCGAATTACTCAAACAAGACTGGATCTGTATCCCAGAGGAGAAGGCAATGCAGAGGGCATTTCCTAGAATCTAGGAAAAAGAAAGAAACAAAGGGAATCACCGGACAAAACAGAAGAGAGAGTCAAGATGATATTTCATAAAGTCTGAAGCTACCTTTTCAGAGATAAGCAGGAAATAGAAGAGAGGTTCCCGTTGTCTTTAAGAACAGAATATTAATGGTCTAGTTAGTCTAATAGACTATACTGAGATTTTAACTCTTAGCAAAAAGTTTGAATGTAAGATGTTAATAGACTTATAGAAATTAAATAGATGGCACTACAGAGAAAACAAGTATTTATATTAAAAAAAGGGTAATTATAGTACTCTACATGCTTCAACTCTGAATAATAATATTTATATAATTTTGGTAACATAAAGAGTAAGTATTGAAACATCTAACATTTAAAATATAATTAAATGTTGATAGTTGGGAGAAGAGCATATATCTAAGTGTATATATGAGTGTATGTGAGAGAAGGAAAAAGAAAAGAGCTATAGCTATAAGAGATCAAAATATTAATCATTTATTTTGACAAGTCGTGTGATAATACCTACAATTTTAAAAAATAACAGGATTAGCTATTTATAAACATGGAGGTGATTACAAAAATAAATTATTTCATAATTTGAAAGTAGTTAACAATGAGAAATAAAAAGCAGGATGTTAGGGAGAAAAGGTAGATGTGCAATATCACTAGTTTTTAAGATATTTTAATGGAAATATTGACTTCTTAAAAACTATATATATACATGCATAATTTTAAAATGATGCTTTATTGCACCCATTCATTTTATCTTCCAGTGGCTCCATCATGGATGTTTTTCCCTTAACCCTACAGTACACTGGAACTGTGGTTTCTGTGGTTTTGCTCATCAGTTCCCTTCTACATATAATTACTTTCTGTTTTCTCTGCATTAACCTAAACTACATGTTTGTCAAAATTAAACTCATATCCCATCATGAATGTTTTACCAAGTGTGTGTATGCGAGTGTATGTATATGTGCAGCCCCTCATTCACACATTCATTCACTCATTTATTCATTAAAACAGATATTTACTAATTGCCTATTGTGAATTGTATATTGTGCCAAATAGTCTAGCCTTGAAAGCCAGTAATGCAATTACATTAACTTACATTGCTTTGTTTTGTTTGTTTGTTTCCCCTCTTTGAATTTCTGAAATGCTTTTAGTATGTTCACCTTAACATAGTACTGGATGTTCTAATGTTTTCCTTTATTTTTTTTTAAAGGCATGCATTTCAATTACTCAACATTCTCAGTTTCTCCAGAGATTTAGACATTATTTCTCAAGTAAATTCAAGGTACTTTATATAGCATATGATAGGTTAATTGAAAATGCCTGTTAATTTATTATGAAAACAAAGCATGTTAAGCTTACATTAAAAAAAAAACACACTATAATTATGACAATGATTATCAAAAGCCTGTGTTCTGGGTGCCTAGGTGGTTCAGTTGGTTGAGCAACTGCCTTCAGCTCAAGTCATGATCCTGGAGTTCTGGAATTCAGTCCAGTATCAGGCTATCTGCTCAGCAAGCAATGTGATTCTCCCTCTGACCTACCCCCTCTCAATCTTACTCTCTCTCATTCTCTCTCTCTCTCTCAAATAAATAAATAAAATATTTGAAATTAAAAAAATATATAAGCCTGTGTTGTTTAATAATAATCCCAGCGATAGCAAGTAGTAAAATCTGAGGGTGAGATATGGATATTTGGATATAGGACTTCCAAAGACTTAATACCTATTTGCTATTTTTTCCATATATGTGTTCACATATGTGATGTTTACATATTATCATTTCTAAACAAACACAAGTCATATATTTGACCTACTGAATCCAAAACCCAAATTAGCACAGTTAGAATAAAAACAGAAATATATAAGTTTGGATAACTATATCTACATATTCAAATTGCATTCTAGGTCAATCCTATACAAAGGCACAGAAAATGCCAGCCTGAGTTTGATTTCAGGAACAAATTTAAGAATTTTAACTTATAATTTTGAGAATCTCCATTGAGAAGTATATTATCTGTGTCTGATAATCCCTATATGTGTTTTCCATAGATTATAGTTCTGATAATGTCTACAATCAAATAACTATAACAGAGACAAAATTTTAGGCTGTAGCATTTATTTATATCTTATTATAAATGAACTTATTAGGTACATTTCTTCATAAATTGATGGGGTAAAACATAGTTGGTAATGAGAAGGGAAGAAATCTAACACCTTTCTACTAGGAATTTTATACAATAAAAAAATATTTCTGTGAACTCTGTTTTATTCCCATTTTTACAGTTGATTAAGACTTAGTGATTTGTTCAAAGTCATAATAAAGTGTTGAGGAAAAAGATTTTTTTTTAAAGATTTTTTTTTTAAATTTATTTGACAGAGATCACAAGCAGGCAGGGAGGCAGGCAGAGAGAGAGAGAAGGAAGCAGGCTCCCCATGGAGCAGAGAGCCTGATGCGGGGCTCAGTCTCAGGACCCTGGGATCATGACCTGAGCTGAAGGCAGAGGCTTAACTCACTGGGCCACCCAGGCGCCCCAAGGAACAAGATTTAAGGCCTGAAATGCCAAAACCCATACTTTTCTATAGTTGATCCATAGATATGAATTAAAATGAGCACAAAGTCTATATAGAATAGAATCTTCATTTTCTTCTTTTCATATTAATTCACAGAGTATTTGTGAATAATGGAGTGACAACACAAAGACCAAAACAGGCACTGTGGATATCAGACAGAAAAGCCCAGTATGGTACAACCATTTATAACTACAAATATATTTATAGATACACATATACAACACCAGACAATTACAGACATTATTTTTTTTCAATAATTTTTATAGCAATATAGAGAACATTTATTAATGAAGCAGGTCTCAAAGAAAAGGAAGAGGGCCTTGGATTCTTTACAGGCAGGTAAACAAGGAAATCATTGGCAATTCTTAAGGGAGTTAAGAGGAGTAATGGAGAGGAATAATGATGAGAGCAGGGTTGTCCTTTCCTGTTAGCTTTTTCCTTGAAAAACAATGGGGATATATTGAGGAACAAAAAACTTCTTCCTAGAACATAGGATGCTTAGCTAAATTCAACACTTCATACAGAAACACAGACACACAGAGGTCTAATACATAATCTCTTTAACATTTAACATATTTAACAAAGAAAGATAATCTAGTTTTTCCCTATTCTTCAGAATCTTACTCTTTTGTTGTTTTAACATGATAACTTTTATGAAATACTTCTTTTATGAGAGCTCTAGAGAAAACTGAAGAGGTAGAAATGTGGCAGAGTGGCAGCTGTATTGATAATATGGTACAAGTTGTGTCAATGGCAGTACATTTTCAAGAGATCTATTTGCATAAAATACAAGTGTTTTCAGGAGGCCCTTGGTGCTGAAATTTCTGGGGTTTTTTGTTTTGTTGTCAAGTACTCTGTGCTTCTTATCTCAACTGTTTTTCTAATATTCTGATGAGCTTTTCATTTGACTAAGGAAATGATTTCTCATCTTTGTTTTCATTGCCTATTCCATCCCTAACTACTATAATCTATGATAGGTAATATGTACTCTGCTTCATATGGTAATCTTGCACAAAGTTTGAATGGCAAGAGTACTTAAAAGTTAAAAAATATATATATATAAAGTTAGAGAATGACTTGATTTTTCTTTTCTTTTCTTTTCTTTTCTTTTCTTTTCTTTCTTTTTTCTTTTACATTAGAATGTTAGTTTTCTGAACCAAAAGCAGTTTCTCTCATACTCAGTCTGGACATTGAAAACTGAAACCACACCTTTCTTTCTACATTAACATGAATTGACTATTCCTCTGCCATCAATATTATGACTTCATTTTTCTGGGTTTTGATGTCTAGAAAAATTATTCAATTTCTCATTGCAGGAACTACCCAAAAGATCCATCAATTTTTTAATAGAAATGTCAATAGTCTGTGTCCTAAGATTCTTTAAATCCCTCAACTCAAAATCTTTGCCTTGTTGTTTCCACAAATCCTAATGTATTGTAATTCTTACCCAATCCTACTCAAGTTCTTGCACTGAAAAGCTTGCCATAAACCAAACCTCCAATTCCCAATGAATTCTGACCTTAATTTCTTCCCCTTAAGACACTGCTAAAGCTGTGCTTATCAGAAAGATGAGCAAGTAGAGTTGATAAACCACCAAAATAATAAAAAACTGAGCAGGGGATGAAAGAAGATACATTTCAAATTGTAGAGGTATGAAATCAGAAGAAATACTTATGGTATGTTAAACATTAAATTTAAAATAAAGCAAGATCATAACATTCATACAGATATAAAATGAACAGAAGTTAAAGATTTTTTTAACTCATTAGTAAGGAAACCGTAAGATGTTATATCCAGTTCAAAGGAGAATCTAAATATCACAAGTTTATAGATCAAGAATATTTAAATGTGTGTGCAAATAGAAGCAAAACTGGCTTTTCCCACAGCACTAAGGGAAATCAACTGAACTTCTATCAGACAGAATTATTTGTATGTCTATAAACTCTAGAAATTTGCATTTCTATATTTTATCTGCCATATAAGGGTTGTAAAACTGCTCAGGATTAATGAAAGACTAGAATCAAAGAAGCATGAATGGAGTGTTCTAGATAATGCATAGCTTTATTGAAACACAAACTGTTCCTATAGATCCTCCTCCTTAGTTCAAAAATAATCTCAAAGTAAGATTATGGAACACAAAACTGGTCTATAAAATCTCATTAGATTTGCCCTTCTTATTTATGTAAGTGCAACAACAGTCTTAATTTATCACTTAGATCTTCTTAAATCTGCTTGTTGGATGTTTTCAGAGGAATCTCAGATTAGATTTTTAAAAGTCTCAATTATTTGCTATCCTGAGCCCAGAAAGCAAATTCTAAAAACTTTCTTCATGAGATTCGACCTACAGGACCTATAACTTTGAATGATTTTCTCTCTCTAAGTTTCCCCAAATATTCTAGGGTGCTTGACCTGACACAGATAACCTCCCTTACTATGACCCATGTACCAGGTCAATTTTCCTGGGTAGAATTTTAAAGTATTGACTCCATAAAATCACACTTAGTTTCTTTAAAGTAGCTGATCAGAAAGATTAAACGTGCATTATTTTCAAATACCACATTCAGGGTAAGGCCTGGTTACAAAACAAATGTTCCCAGCTATTCCATGGTAAACAGAAGGACAGATTCTAAATGGACTTATGCAAATAACTTAACAGCCATATAAAGGAAGAAAACTCAATACAGTTCTCTGACTTCTTGGGAGAAAATAGGGGATGTCAGGGGATCAGATGTTATTTGCAAATGTTTCACTGGTTTACAAAGTAGAGTCTACTAAACTGTTATGGGTATAGGGAAAGAAAATAATTTTCCCTCTACCTTTCTGAGTTCTTAGCTGAGACTTCTTTAAAAAAAAAAAAAAAAAGATCAACAAAAGAAAAACAAACAGAAGTTTGTTAACATGTATCTCTCATGTATACATGGGTGATAACAGGGAAAAATGATTAACTCCCCAAGGCTGCTTAAAATTCAGACTTAAATACCATCTTATACAGAAAGTGGAGAGCAGAAATGTGGGCCACTTGGAGAAGAATAAATGATTTTGGGAAAGATGAATGAGGCTTAAACAAATAGATGAGAGTTATGATAGTAAAGTAATTAAACAAGGAGACAATTAGACCCTGGTGGCTTGACTGCCTTGGCAGGCTACATAAGCAAACCAAAACTTAAGATAGAGTATATTACCATAAATGTTTCAAGGTTAAAAAATTGAAATCTAAGAATGACCAATCACAAATAGCCAACTAGGCTTTTCCAAATAAGGCAACTGCTTAAGCTCTAGTTCAACACATATTTTCCTTGCTTTGCTCTAAATCTGATTTATAAATATCTTTCCTATAGTTCTTCTTGGTGGAGTATTCTTAACCACTTTCAGTTTGTGGGTGCCTGATTCAAACTGATATTTGCTCACATAAACTCTTAAAAATTTTAATGTGGGGACACCTGGGTGGCAGAGTCAGTTAAGCTACTAACTCTTCATTTTAGCTCATGTCACAATCTCAGGATTATAAGATAGAGCCCCACATCAGGCTCCTTGCTCAGCAGAGTCTGCTAAAGACTCTCTCTCTCCTCTTCCTCTGTCCCGTCCCCCATGCCACTCATGTGTTCTCTGTCTCTCTCTCTATATTTCTCTAAATAAATCTTTAAAAAAAATTTTTGTGCCTTAGTTTATCTTTTAACAGTAATTTGTGACAAGACTTCTCTGCATGTGGTGTCACTTCTAGTCTCTTCTCCAGGAATGAGCATCAATCATCCCTGGTGATGAAAGTCCAAGGGATTTATGATAACTGAGCTCCTTTTAAAGGATCTGTCTTTAGGCAGATACGAGGTATTCAAAGAAAGCCTCTCTATGCATTTGTTTTTCAAGTGCATAATACAGATCAAAAATAATATACCAAAGAAGCATATTTTGGGATGGTGTGGGGAAACAAAACACTTGACTCCAAAATATGCCAACTAGGTATGTGGATTATTTTAAGCTAACGGTAATTAAGACCCAACAGACTCAAGAAACTCTTACCTCTTCCTGAACTACTTAAAAGAATTCAGATAAGGAGGCTGGCAAAAAAAAAAAAAAAAAAAAAAAAAAAAAAAGGGTATTACCAGAAATAAATTTTTATCTGAAAGACCTATCTGTATGGCAGGGCAAATATCTATACCAAACATCTGCTCTTCCTATTCTCCTGTGAATTGTTTTCTTCCTCTCTGAAGCTCTAGGTCCTATCCCATCCCATAGCTCAGGATGGCATATAAGCCTCAACTGAAAATTTGTCCTTGGGTCTCATATTTTTTAAAGGGGTTTCTGAGCAGAAGTAATTTTTTCCCCCAATTATCCATCTTAGATCAATTTTATTAATATACCAGCCAAAAGAACCTAAAAGAGTAGAGTAAAATTTATTCTCCCCTACAGTGGCATATTCTGCTGTCTCTTATGAACAACAGTTAAATTAAGAAGAAAGGTTTCCTGGAGAGCCTGGGTGGCTCAGTGGGTCAAAGCCTCTGCCTTCAGCTGAGGTCATGATCCCAGGGTCCTGGGATCTAGCCCTGCATCAGGCTCTCTGCTCAGTGGGGAGCCTGCTTGCCTTCCCCTCTCTCTGCCTGCCTCTCTGCCTACTTGTGATCTCTGTCTGTCAAATAAATAAATAAATAAATAAATCTTTGGCAGGGGGGTGGTGAAGAAGAAAGGTTTCCTAATACACAGAAAGTATAATATTAAAACATCAATGATATTTCAAACAAGTAACATTTGCATTGTCAGTTCATTCAGTCCTATATATTTCATTATTTTCTTAAGTCTTTAATTATTTATTTTTTAGTTAACATCCATCCCCTTATATAGTTATAAAATGTTTTTCCTCGTGATGAAACCTCTTAGCATTTACTCTCTTAGCAACTTAGAAATGTACTATATAACAGTTTAAAT